AAAATGTGGCGAACCATAATTAAGTTTGATATTTTTACAGCATAAATGTCCCCCCCAATGTTTTGATGTTCAATTGATATTTATTTTGTTTAGAGTGAGCTAAGAAAAACAATTTGAATAAAAAATGGAAATTTCAAGAGAAGGTTTTGGTTGTTGTATTATTTTTCACAACTTTCAACATGGATGATATCGACAAGAATGTATCGATGAACTTATTTCTTTGTATGGCGATGAAGTACAATACTATACACTGATATAGTGAATTCAATCGTGTTCGTGGTTTTCGGTCGCCGATGATTTCCGTGAAGATCGTCTAAAATCGGTTGTTGTGATACAAAACATTGATGCAGTGCGCGAAATGATCATGTAGGATAGCCATGACACATTGTGAGATAAAGGCATCCTTGTTCCTTAGTTACACTTCAATATATTCGATTTTGAATTAGTTCGCATTTCCATTGTCTATTATGATATAAAACGATTTGACACTCCTGAAGGAACCAATACAATTGAAAATTAAAAATAAATAGCTGAAAATAACAATTAAGTCGAGCAAAAATCCTGAAATGAAATTTCACTGAAATAAGATTGAACCCCGTGGGTTGGACTACCTATCGGGCGCGTCCTCAGGTGACGGATAGGGGAACGGTCAGGGGACTATAGTCTTGTCCGGAAAGTCAATGTGGCCTTACGGACGGGGTCGACGAACTTCTGGTCAGTGACAGAAATGAGTAGGGTGAGGGGAACCAAACCTCCCCAAAAGCCTTTGCGAAACATACCACCGTGGACCAGCCTACCCAAGCTAGGGTGTAAGGAATCGTGCCGACAGCTGAATGGCCGCAGGGTGATATGCGGTTCCCCTTGGGGAAACGGGCGAAATCTTATTGTAATCAGCCTTCCTCTGGAAATGCGGGGCTCTGCCAGAGTGACTAACTCTTCCACTGCTATTCGTAAGACCACACTTGAATGAAACAAATACAAAAACAGACACAGAAAAAAAAACCAATTCCGAGTCTGGACAAAAATGCCCACCTCAGTCTATGGCATTGGCTGGAGATGAACAGTAATGTTCACCCCAATCTACCGCTCGGAATGAGGCTGGACATGGCAGATCACTTCGTAAAATAATACAAAGGCCAAGAAGTTAGCGCATTTGCGGCGCTGAGGCCAAAAGGAGAAAGAGAGCGATAGAGACAAGAGTGGCAGCAACTAAAAGTGCACTCTAATCCTCCACCATTCCACCTCCAATAGCAAAGGCCCTTCCTGCAGTGAGCGCCAAGAGCTCCGCCTTGAATCAAGGCAAGGAACCGGCTGCCCCTACAGGAAAGCGCCCTTACTCGGGCACCTCCACGGAGGAAACCCCAAGAAGGTTGAAGAAGCCACGCAACGACAGTAATGCCGCTGCATCTTCCAAAACTTTCTCGAAGGCCGCCGTGAGACACCTCAAGGTTGCCAAAGATAGTGAGTGTTCGGCGTGTCTTGGCCTTCACATGTCGATATAAAGGAGATGTCTCCTAATGACCTGTCCACCTTCCTAGAAAGGACAGAAAGGACGATGACCTAGGAGGACAACCACTCGAGAGAATGTACAATGGGTCACATGTGGCCTAAGTGCTGTGAGTATACACTCACTCTCCCTACTCTACAGATACAGACAGATTGAAAATTGAACAAATAAACTACAAAAAAAATGAATATAAAAATTGGGAGATTTTAAACCAAGTTATTTCACGTCGTTTCCATTGTTATTCACATCGTCTTCAGGTGATGACTGGACTAATTCCTCCGAGAGATGACTATTCATAGGTGCTTGGAAAGCTTTCTCTTTATCCTCTGTTTTCTCTCTCCGAGTCACCGGTTTAGAGGTAGATGAAAGTTTGGTTGGAGTTGACCGTTTTCCGCTTGATTATGGGTTTACATATGTTGCGTATCTCTAGGCTAGCTTGGCTGCCTTCAACATCGAAGTCACAGAACAAGATCAATTAATCAGTTTCGACGTGGAAAGTGGAAAGAACAATACCGTTCCTGTTGAAAAAGCACTTCAAATCATACAGAAGAAGCTATTCGAAGACGGGGACCTGAAAGATAGAACGAATTCTTTATAAAAGATGAGGGCCTGCCAATGTGATCATCACTTTCACCAGTTATTGCCAACATGCATATGGAGTGGTTTGAAACTCTAGCCATTGAAGAAGCCCACACGAAAGTCCGAAAGAGATACGTTGACGACATCTTAATAAAAGGGTAACACAGAACTAAACACCTTTCTGAAGCACATCGACAGCGTAAGACCTTCAATCACTTTCACAATGGAGAAGGAAGTCCACAATGAATTTTCATTCTTAGACACTAATTGGAAAACATCTGTATACCGAAAACCCACTCACACGGGACAGTATCTGAATCACGAATCCAACTACTATCAATCGACTGAAAAAAGAAGCATCAAGACTCCATTAGACCGTGCTTTCGGCCTCTGTAATAAGAAGGAAGGCCTCAAGAAGTAACAAAAAATTTTCTTCAACGGAATGGTTACTCTAAACTGATGGTGGAATAGACTTTGGGAAAAAGACAGCAACAGCTTCGCAAAGAAAAGAAGCCATCACAGCCAGTTCTTGTTCTTCCCTTCATCAGAGGATTGTCGAAACGAATAAGAAAAATTGCGTCGAAGTACAACATCAGAACCTGCTTCAGATCCCTAAACACCATCTGTAGCAGCCTCACGCAAACCAGGACACCGTATGCCCTGTGAGTGCAGCAAATCCGATATCGGTGAAACATAAAGGCCATTGAGATTCGCATTGCCGTGCACAAGAAACACACACACAGCGAGGAGAAACCAGCCAATTGGGAATAGCAGAGCATGATTGGACTCATCAACGCAACCTCAAGTGGTCCCAAGCTGAGATCATCTACAGGGAGGAACACTGGTTTAGGATATTCAAAAAACCTCATATTTGTTATCCAACAACGTATGCAGCTAAGCTAGAGAGATTGCGTAGAGATACGCAATATTTCGAAACCCATAATCAAGCGGAAAACGGTCAACTCCTGCCAAACGGTCATCTCCCGCTGAACCGGTGTAGCGTAGAGAGGGGATAAGGTAAAAGCTTTATAATGCTCTGTGAATAGTCATCTTTTGGGGGAATTAGTCCAGTCATCACCCGAAGATGATTGTGGAAAGTAACATTTGATACGTCGTATAGTAACTTGGCTTAAAATTTCTTCATTTTTGTTTTTTTTTTGTTGTTTAATTGTTCAATTTTCAATTTTTTGCTTGTATTTTATTTCACTGTAATTCCATTTCAGGGTTTTTGCTTAATATAATTGTTATTTTCAGCTATACATTTTCAATTGTATTGAGTGTGATTGATGACTTGTTTACTTTATGGCAATTCATACCATCCTGAAAATTCTAGGGGTTGTTAAACTCATAAATTCAAGAGAGGAGACCTACATAAATCAAGTTGCCCATTTAGGGATATATATTTTTGTTTTGTAGTTGATTTGTTAATTTCCATGGCCTCAAACAGGTTCATTTTTCTCCCTACATATATGTAATAAAGGGAGAAAAATGAATCTGTTGCAGGCCATAATGGGATCAAACCCGAAACCGGTCGTAAAATAAAATTTTTCAGTGGTATTTAGATAAAAGTGTTTTTATTCATTTCATTTAAGTCAATTGTATTGGTTTTCTCGGGGATTTAAAAACATTTTGTATAATATTAGACAATGGAAATCTGAGCTAATGAAATTCACCATAGACAATTGTAAACCACATTCAAACAAACATTCCATTTTGCATGAACACTTAGTTGTACTTTCACATATAGTCAGTGGACATACTTGAAGACTGGCTATAAATCAAATTATATAAGAACAATTCGTTCAGGCCAGTCTCAAATACCTACACAGTAGGTTAATGGACTGACACCTCTCAGAAACAACTACTCCCCTGGCTAATACCACGAAGGGCGTTGGATTATATCCGACAGGTGTCTGTTCAGGATTCTTCACAGAAGTTATTCCTGCATATGCTGTTGGCGATACAACTGCCGCAATAGATTTTCAATTATTGGAACACACTTGCAGATCGGTTTCGGGCTGTTTGGCCACTCGTCAGTGCAAGGTAGTGTATATTATCAACATAAAGTCGATGATTTCCGATAATTGAAAATCAAATTCCGCCAGAGTATCATTCCTCGAACCAAGCTGAAGCATACAACAAACAACAGGTTTGTCGTCGCCCCATCTGCCTGTGACGGAATTTGATCTGCCAACTACTTCATCTTCTGAATGATTTCTCAGGAACTAGGGAGATATGTTGGTTTCAAGGTTACTTTTTGCAAACTTTGTCAACAATACGAAATCAAATGGTATTGGTTTTTGAACAGTCATAATAAATAGATTGGTAGACCTTGTTTACTTCAATGTTTGTGCATGAAAAGGAAACTTGTCACAAGACGTTTTGTTTTCAGGAGGTTGTTCCCGTCTCTAAACATCCAAGTCTCAAATCTGGACCCCAAGGCATACTATAACATCTGGATAGAAATGATCCCTTCGTCTAACTGCAGGTACAAGTATGGAAACTTGGGAGGCTGGACCCCAGCTGGTACTGAAGAGGCTCAAAGCCCCCCAAAGCTGCACCCCGAATCGCCTTCAACCGGAAAACATTGGATGTCTCAGACGATCTCATTCAGCAGGTTGAAGCTCACAAACAACACCAACAACGACTCATCAACATACCAGAACGAGCAAGTGACGAAATTGGAAATTGACAACAATCCCTTGGCCAAAGGATTTAGGAGAACGGGCGGGCTTACTGTAAGAGAAAAAGACAAGACACTGAATCACAAAGCGAAGAAGAACCTAGTCAAAAACAGAGGAAAACGGATAGGTTATCACCGGTGATAGACCGGGAGCCCGTGACAGAAATTTTGACCACATTTTTTACCGTCTGCCTTTTTCAGGAGACATAACAAATTTTTTTCCCATGTTACACATGCTTAAACATCAACTCTAGTTAGCATGAAAAAAAAAATTTCTTTGACCACCATTTTACCGTCTGCCATTCATGCAACCGGAAGAGTAGGTTACGCAACCCACAAAAAATAATTGACAGACGGTAACATGGTGTTCTGGCTAAAGCATGAATTTTTTATTTACCAAAAATAAAATGGGTAATCAAAATAATTTTTTTACCGTCAGCCAAGAACAGGGTAGACTAACAGTAGCATGAAATGAACGCATCTTCACAAGGTAGACGGTTTGTCGGTGTATTAATAATTTATAGGCATCAGTTGATTAACCATTTTTTACTGTATCTATGAACCATTTTTTACTGTATAAAACTTGGTAAGATATAAACTCCAGTATTAAAAATACAGAGAAGAATTAATGGCAGACGAATAGACAGTGTTTATACAACTGAAAAATATTTTTTAATTTGTTGAAAAAATAACTGGAAGTAATTTTGAGACACACAAATGGTGAGTAAATCAACAATCTCCTGTTTTATCAGTGGATTCACGTGGTTTTTGTCTAAGAGACACTCTACTAGTCCAATTGTTTCAGTTGGCGGGATACTGGGAAATACATTTTGGACATCGAACGATATTAATTTTGAGTTATATGGGAGGATTACGTCTTTAATATTATCCACTAATTGATAAGAATTATTTTTACTAAATTTAGGCTTGAAATTGGTATAGGTTTGAATCAATTTAATCGGGATTTCTGAGATTTTCAACGGTAGGTGCCGTTACGAACGATACCACTGGTCTAATCGGGAAATTGGTTTTATGTAATTTAATAAGAGAATACAGTTTTGGTGGTTGTGGATTCATGATCAATGCTCTACATTTATCCTTTCCATTCATAACCAATTCTATTGTTTTGAGAGTTTCCTTAACCTTTTTCTGGTACATAGTTGTCGGATCCTTCCTCAGAATCTCGTAGCTTCCTGAATTAAGGAAATCTAGAGTTTTTTCTATGTAGTCCTTTTTATTTAATGCAATAACCGTTCGACCTTGTCAATTACCAAAATTTGGATGATTTTGAATATTCACTTGAAAACTTATCAAAGAAAAACAATTTTCATTTTGTAACTTCGAGGGCCCGTTACTTGGTAACGAAGGATTTTAGGAGAAAAAGTTATATAAAGTACTGGTGATATTTTGACCCCATCTATACATTCCCGAGAGGAAAAGAGGAAGTCCAGGGACACCCTGTATATGGTTTATGGAATACCTGAAATCAACGTACATGTAAACGAAGTACCTGAATTTTAAGTAGCTGATATTTTACCTGAGTTTCTAACAATATTAGAATAGTTTTCCAAACTTTGGGCCTGTTTCTCGGTAAGTCTAAACTGAATCAATCGTTGGAGTTTATTCTTTTGTATCAGATATTCTTTATGAATTATATCATTAACTTTTTCACGAGCATCTGTGTCCAAAGTTTGGAATTCTATATAATACAATCTATAGTGAAAATCTCACAATAAAGTGTTTTTGGAATACGTTAGTTATGGATTTTCATCAAGTATCGGCCGATTCCATCATATACCTTACTTTCGGTGGTAATCTGATAGTAATCAGTTTTTTCAGAACTAACAAGAAGTTAGAAGCAAGAATAGCTTGCACTCAATCTTGTTTCAGATTCTCTTTTGAAACCAACAAGACAAGATTCAATAATATTCAAAAAGTGACTCTTTATGCACTATATAATGAACTGCGTCAAAAACCTTAAAATTTTCAAATATCAAAGGTAATTAATAGAAGTAATCAATTGAGATATTATTTTATTCGAACAAATATAATCGGGTCCAAGTTCAGGATTGTCGTTTGTTCTTCTTGTGTTCCAACCGATGCATACGCTCCGTCAAGAGATCAGCATTTTGTTTAAGAATTTTGTTTGACTCCCTCATTTCTTCTAAAATGTCTTTTAAGTAGTGATTTTCTTGAAGTATCATCCTGGACTGGGAGACATCAGATACTTCAATTTCTATTTTCAATTCTTGTATTTGTGTTTTGAAATCTGTATTTTGTTTTTCGCTACATGCATTGAATTTCTGGAGGGTCTCATTGCATGCTTTTTGTATCTTTAGATCTGCATTCAAATTCTGATTTTCCCACTCGAGCCTACCTATTTTAGTTTCGAGATCAGAAACTCGAATATTCAGACGATGAACCTCTTTCTGAAGTTCACCGACATCTGCCAATTCATCTCCAACCATACACTTATCTTCATTAACGGGCAAGACTGTCTCACAGGTAGATTTACTAAATTTTTTATTGTTTCTTCTGTAAAAAAAGGATAATAATTAATTTACCTCAAATTGAGTTGTCATGGTCTAGAATTATACCAAAAATGTATCTCTTTTTGAGTAAAAAAAGCCAAAAATTTGAAGAACGAGCCAGAAACCTATAAAAACGACACCGAGCCAGGAAAGTGAATAATAACCAGGAATAGGTGAACCATTCATTTTTTCTCGTCTTCTATTTGTATTCTGTTACAAAGTTGACTATTGAAACAATTAGCGAATATAATTTTAGTTCAGGAATGAATACAGAATTGACTGGAAATTAATTTCGTTGCAGGTATGAGTGAGAATAATAATCCGAAACATAAATATAGCAGAGGAAGAGAAAGAAGATAGTTACAAATTCTCTAGAAAATAGAAATAGTAATAACATAAACCGTTTCATTCATCTAAATAAATTAGTATTCGAAAGAGATAACACAACTTTCAAAGGTGATAATGAAAGTACTCTGGAAATATTCATTTCACCTTTTGAAATGTCCAAGACTTTGACGATCCAATTAACACATTTCTAATCAAAGCTATCAACGGAGAAATATCGGGAAATGCTTTGAGTAGATTTAGTTTTGAAGACTAAGAAAGTTCCAGATTGTCTCATTCAAAATATGACTAATATGAAACATTCATGAGACGAATCCTTTCATTTATTCGATTGAGAGAGTTGAAAAAAGTAGAAGTATAATTGCTCCAAAATAGATGTAGCCGTTACTACGTGCTACCAGATCACAATGAATAATGAGAAATAAAACTTTCAATGGTTTTTCAAATGTACAAAGTTTTATTTCTCATTATTCATGCTTCAAAATCAGTTTCAATTAACAAGAGTGTGGAAGAAAGAATCTTCAAATTGAAATATTTCGATGAACTATTTTTTGAAAACCTTCATCCGTAGTTCAACTGGAATAATACACGATATAGTCAGACTACGAAATCTAGCCAGTAAAATATATGAAACACTCACCTCTCACCCTTACGAGGAGCATTCTTTCTCTGTTTGGAAACCAAATCATACACATGTGACGATTTTTGCGATTTAGTCACATGGACAATTGCGTATGGTCCGGCTCCCTCCACCTACAAATGAAACATTAGATGAAAAAGTGTCTGAACAACAATATACTTATAATCTAAGAATGATAACTTTTAGTTACTTTCATTTAGTTTCCTTTTTTATATGTATATTCACATAACATCAGAACAATAGAGACCAATTCAATGAATACTCGATATTAGTTCGGGTGACAAAAAAGGGGATCTCTGAAATTTCAGTGATATATGGACATTGTTTGATGAATGTGCAATATTGAAATTATAACGTGACAATAACACAGTCTCACTACATTCAAATGTCTAAAGGCGCTCATTTTAATTTCAAAATTAATGTTTGTGATTTTGAAAGACGGCAGAAGCTATGCAGTTTTCCAGAAGTGATTCAATTTGCATTGACATTGTAATAGTTTCTGTAGCAGGAGTGATTACTTAAGACAAAATCATCGAATATACTAGACTTGATTAAACAAAGCACAATAACAATCGTAAAATCACTTTGTGTAAAATTCACTTACCTCTACTGTATCTGGCATTGAACGTAAAAACTGTTCAAGATGACTGAACCCATGTTTTCGATATGGAATCGATTCATTGATGAATTCGACATAATCCTTTTCAAGTTCTCTCATCGTCATCGACAATCCGGCAGAAGTCAAAATGCTTCGTATATTCTTCTTAGCTGAATCCATAACTCACTTTTGCCTTTCGAAAAGAATTGAATTGAATATTAAAATATCACTTTCACCGAAAAAATCAATATTTTCAAGTTGAATACAGTTCAAGTAGTAAACCAAGAATGACTTCATCAAACGAATAGCAGCCTTTTAAACCATTCAGACTGGACGGTAGTAGGTAATATCAGGCAAATCAGTGTTACCACACCATGTTTCATATTTCAGTACTCGAGAGGCAGTGTTGATGCGATGGGTTTCAAATAGTAGATTTAAAGATGTTTCTCAATATCAGAATTACGTACTGATGGTGTTAAACACAAAACTAATAAAATAGTTTTATGAGTTCTCCTGTTGGTCACTTCTTGGACGTTAAAAGCATTTTTTTTCTATCTTCATTCCATCTCATTATCAATAAGATATTCACGAAATGTACATACTTCAAAAGTAGAAAATGCTTCAACTCGTAGGGCGATCAAACGCAAAGCGAACGTGTTGAGTTTCATGTAAAGAGTAGACGACGCACGAAAGGAATTCACGTCTGTATTGATCTTCCTCATTTTACAATCTTCAGTGGCCTTGAATTCCAGAATTTTAATTTATTATTAGATTACAGATCACAATGCTTATTTTGGAAAAAAGGTGATTTGGTATTGTAACATTTGAAAATATATCACATTGACAATTTTTTAGTCACAGAAATGACCTAAATAGATATTTATTTTTCACATTCGTGGGTTTGTCATTGAAAACAACATGAAACTAAGTCCAACCATGCTCATAAGTGAAATTCGTTTTATTATTCTAATCATTAAAAATCTGGGTACTGGGGGAGTACGTAGGTATCTTACTTTCTAAACATATTT